CCCCCCCCCCCCCCCCCCCGCGGGGGGGGGGGGGGGGGGGGCCCCCCTGTATCTTTGCTGTGCGATTAGTTTCTACACCAACAAACTCAAATTAAATTTGTACAGGACTAATAGCTGTAAGATGGGCCGAGGGAGGAATAAATTTCAAAGCTCCTCAAATCAGCCATAGGAGGAACTAAATGTACTACAACTGTGAACCTAAATGTTTCTAAATTAGCCCCGAATGAACTTCACATAAACTAGTCAGCTCCTTTGAACACGGGGCCTCCAAAATGGGCTGCTAATGGGCACTCACTCTTGGAAACTCACTCTAGCACACACGCATTCACGGTCTTCCTGTTTTTGTCAGATGAAAGCAAAACAAAGCTAGTAAAATAACCCTGAAGTTGAATGGTGTTGAAGCTTTATGCATTTGATATTTAATAAATTCTTCAACCAGATCAGAAAGCCTGATACTGATAACTTCCCTTTGGTGAAGAATCATGAAACTGTAGTAATTCTGACATTCGCTGAAAAATGCACGTATCTGCCCAGTGTCTGTTATATGCCGGGCACTGTCCCGAGTGTTTGGGTTACAAATGGTTAACAAAACAAAAATGCCTGGCCTCACAGAGCTTACATGCATGATAGTATTTTAAAAGTCTCTAATCATTCAATCTACCTATTCTTTGACAGCACTCTTTATTTTAGTAAACTGATACATAAGCCACAATCCCTCTGTAATATTCTTAAAGTTGTCTGAAGTGTGCTTGTTGTTAATCTTTCAAATCCACTTAACATTGATAATGTAGTCTCAACTCCCAGTGTAAGAATCAATTAACCTTATTTAACTAAGATCATGTATTTCCCTAAATAAATCCCCAAAACCTAAAAACGTTTCACTGAGCGTTAACTAGTAAGTTCCTATATTTATGTTTCATTTTGTTAGAATTTTCTAGGAATTTGCTCGTTTAAGATGAGAGTTTGTGACATACGTTTGCTTATTAAAGTACTACTGTTGGCTTACTGCTCAGTTTTTCTTTTTAATGTTTATTTATTTTTAAGAGAGAGAGAGAGAGAGAGAGAGAGAGAGAGCGGGGGAGGGGCAGAGAGAGAGGGGGAAATAACAGAATCTGAAGCAGGCTCCAGGCTCTGAGCTGTCAGCTGTCAGCATGACCGTGAGATCATGACCTGAGAGCCGAAGCCGGACACTTAACTGATTGAGGCACCCAGGCCCCCCTTACTGCTCAGTTTTATATGGATACCTTCTAAAACTGAATGGTCAAACTCCTCAATTCCTTAAAACATGTTTTTCTTGTGAAAGGGAAGAACCTCAGAGTCACCTTAGTACCACAATGAAGCCCAACAACCTTTCTGTCTTGATTTAGCAGTATCACATTCAGGAAGCTGTAAGATTACTCAACTGAGTCCAAATTTTAAAAGACATTGTCCACATCAACCGAGATTTCCACAGCTTGTGGTTAATATATTTTTGCTGTCATGATAACTACTCTGCCTCAAACAAAATCCTAAAGACAAAGAGGAAAGGAAGGGCCAGAATAGTCCTTTGAAATTCGTACCTATTACTTCACAGGAGATTTTTCTTTCAACTCCTATGGCAGATATCCCCAACCCTCCTTTCCTCTCCCCTCTCCTCTGAACCAGGACACAAACACTTAGTTGAACTCCCTGTTTTGTTTACATCCATTTAAAAAATACAAGTCTCAATTCCTACAGTTTTTTCTCATTATAAATTCTAAGAACTTAATCTGATACACTCCAGCCTTTTAAGTAACATAATAAACCACTTTCCTCTCAACTTATATTCACATGTATCCTGTATGAAACACAAATGTCTTAATACTAGGAGTAAATCTAGCTATCACTCTTGTAGATGTAAATCAAACAGTAAAAAATAACTTTTTGCACAAGCGTTTATTTTTGTTCCTCTTGAAAAATAAATCACAAAAACAAACATGTTGGTGAAATACTTCACTGTCACTTAATGGAAAGAGAAAGCTATTTCTGATGTCTGAGGCAAGGAAAAAAATTCCTAAAGTGCCCTAATTTTAAAAGAAATCATTCTAGTCTTTTGCATTTAATAATTAAATCGCAAGAGAACTAAATTTTCAGAGTTTATTTAAGAAACAAGGGACACTAGACTCTTTTTGTTCACTATTTTTATTGGCTATGAAGCAATAAACTGCACCAATATTTTTTAAAGTTTACTTTACTGATTGGTTGAAAAACGGTAGCCATTAAGGTTCCTAAAACATTTGGGGTTTTGCTCTCAATGTATGCACATCTATAGATTATTCAGCCAAGAATACTACCAGTGTCTGGGACATTAGTTATGGGGCCAAGTCTTTACTCTAAAAGCAAGAACAACTATTCCCCACTTGGGGCAGTTTCTATGGGATTTGTTCAAATGTCAACACTGCTCAAGTCAAACATCATAGAGGAAGCTGGTACCCAATTTCTGGCCAAATAGTAGATGCGGGCCTTTCTTCCTCAGCCAGAAACACTATGCACAGTACTTCTGGGAAACCAAACTGACTTCCTTTAAGTTATTTCAACAGGATAGAGCTTTCAAAGGTTTAATTGGATTTTTACAGAATCTCTTTCCAATACCACCAATTTAAAATATTTAGTTAAGCTCTTTCAACATCAACTGTATTTTTAAGTTGTCATGCTGCTAATGTGAAACTTTCCAAAGGCAAGAAGAAAAAAGTGACAAGTTTGAACAGCATGGAAAACAAGCTTCAACTTTATCTCAAAAACAGTTATCTTCTCATGCTATTTTAAAATTACCTAGGAGTGTTTTGCTAGGAATCCCTAAACTTCTTAAAAATTGTTCAAGTTAAACATGCATACTCTATCATCTGGACTGATGAAGCCAATCAATATATTTCATAAAAATGTTAAGCAAAAGCATGACCAGTAAAAGTAGGGAACGGGCACAAACACCGCTTGAGTGCAAACTCCAGAGTCGGGTATTTCTCATTATGTCACTCAATCGTCACAGTAACTCCATGAGGTAAGAAGTGACACAATGCGTTCCAGATTAGGAATCTGGGCCTACCTCTTTTCCTTACTGTCCTACTTAAATCCTCCAGGAATAAACACCAATACACTATAAACGAACAATTTACGGAATACATATTGTTCAAATTTATTTAAAGATTCTAGAGCCACTTGAGAAGGTCAGTCAAGGAATGGCTTAATGGACGCAGAGCAGGCCTTCAGCTGCAGAAGGTGAGCACAAGGCATACTCTGGCTGAGCCAGCCCTCAGTGGAGGCCCACCTTTCAGGATCAGTGGGGGTCTCACAAACTGTTCTGACAATGCCCAAATATCACTAATGATGGTTTCCCTTTACCCCAGGCTAAACAAATTTCAAGGGGTTCGCAGAACATGTTTACAGCGTATTTGAAATCTTCAGCGATGGACTAAAAAAAAAATCTTATTTTTTTTCCTCTGATAAACAGATAAAATAGGACTTTGGAACCTGCCACAACAGAATGGGAGGTTTCTCTGCTCTGCTGAACATATTCAATAGATTCATACCAAGGCCTTTCCCTAGAATGTTCCACACCGACTCTAACAAAAGAAATATATCACAAATGGAAATATTTCTCAGAATGGCTACTTTAGGTAACTTTTTAAAAAGTTTGTTACAGTGGGGCACCTGGGTGGCTCAGTCGGTTAAGCGCCCGACTTCGGCTCAGGTCATGATCTCACGGTCCCGGAGTTCAAGCCCCGTGTCAGGCTCTGTGCTGCCAGCTCAGAGCCTGGCACCTGTTTCGGATTCTGTGTCTCCCTCTCTCTGACCCTCTCCTGTTCATGCTCTGTCTCTCCCTGTCTCAAAAATAAATAAAATGTTTAAAAAAAAGTTTGTTACAGCAAATTTGCACATCTGGTCTCCTTCCTGGTAACTAAAAATAATTCTATCTATCAACTATTATCTGATAGAGACTAAAACCCATCAGGATTAAAATCAATGTTTAGTAAATGAGAGTGTAGCTTGTACTAAATGACTTGAAAAAAACAAATAGGACTTAATCTTTTGATTTTCTCCTGTTAAAAACAAAAACAAAAACAAAAACAGTCTCTGAACTCAAAGAACTTAAAATCCATTTCCCATTCTGAGAAACAAAACAATGCAAAGTGGAATAAATTATTTCAATAGTCTGTATTTAATCTTTTTTCTTAATCTTAATTCTTAGAATGTAGTTCTTAAAAGTTCAAATCAGCTCCTATTTCAGAAGGAAAATGTTTTTATGCAACTTAATATTTTTAGACACTTACAGAATTTAGTCTGAAACAGTCTATATATATTCTAATACAAGTTAAAAAGGAGGAAAAGGGCT